TGAACCCCCCCCAGGGAAATGGTGGGCAAAATCACCAAGTAACAAATGGTGGGGGTAAGGAGAAAAGAAACAAAGTCTGGGATAGAAAAGCTCGAAAAGGAGAGAGAATAAAAAACATTTTTAAAAACCATTTTATTCAAGGGATACGGGCTGCGTGTAATGCAGCAGGTAGGGGCAAATGTTGACAGTACGGATATCATTGCGTAGAAAAAAGGGCCTTTCATTAAAGGCCCCATTGAAAAAGGATGAAAAAATACAAAAATTATACCTGAGATGGGTTTGGAAAAACGCCGGTGATTTTTTGGTTTTTTAAGCAAGCCCCAAACAGGGGAAAACCTGGAAAGCAACTCTGAACTCACCCCCCGATTCCCCCTGAGGCCGCGGATTTCCACTGTAAATAGGCCATAAATTTGGCGATGAAAAAAAATTTCGGAATCGTGGGTAAAGGCACCTACGGACTAGAGGGGGTTAGAAAAGTCAACGTGTGGTGGCTTTGGAAGATTTTCAAGTAGCGAAGGAACGGGCGTTGCGAAGAAGGGGTTGTGAAGAGGAGGAGAGGGGGAGAAAGGAACGGGAAGTGAATCAGTGTCCATTGAAGGTTTAGCCTGCAATATATTCTAAAAAGGCTTCAAGTTTTTCTGAATTCAAAGATTAGGGGAAAACCAATTGGAGATAGGGGGGGGGTTTGAGTAAAGAGGGGGACAGAAATGGCGTACCAAAGTAGAGGGGGGGGAAAAGTGAAAAGGGACGGAAAAATGAAGTGTGGGGGGGACAAAAAGGGGCAGAAACCTGGGGGGTGACAGAAGAGGAGAAACTTGGGAGGGGACGGGGGGTGGAAGGCATAAAAGAGGGGAGGGTGAATCTCCACACTTGTAATAGAGCCAAGAGAGGGGGGAAAAGGTAAGAGCTGGAAAGGTAAAGTGTGGGGGGGAAAAAGGGAAGGAAGGGCAAAGAAGATTTGAGCAATGTGGTTTTTTTTGGATTCTGAGTAGAGGGGCGTTTGGTATTAGGTGTCGTACGAGGTTTGTGAACGGGGCTTGTGAGGAAGGACGCAAAGATTGAAACAACGAGTTGATCCGGACTTAAAAGGCCAAGGACAGCAAAAGGTTGGGCCAAAGTGGCTGGGAGGGGTAACAACAGGGGAGGCGGAAGGGGGGCCCCCAAAGTGGGGGGAAACGTTGGAAAACGAGAATAAGAAACACGGGGGTCTCCCGGGAGGCGGAGATGAGAACTGCCATACATAAGGGAATCTTCTCCCTCTTTGAGGCAACGATTTCACGTTCATTTAAGTAGCCTGGAAACGGCGGGAACAAGGGTGAGCTTCATTAAAATTAAGGAAGATGGAGGTTGCTGCAAAATGTATTGAATGGTCTGGGCACCACAGACGGGGGCTTTTCCCCCATAGATCTGCAATATTTCGCGGTGACCAAAACGCCAGCAATTTTACATTTTTGCGGTGAAATATCATTTTTTGAACTTGTACCATTTCCCCGCACATATACGTGGGGGGATTCTCGGCTGTCAAAATTTAAAACGACCACTTTGAAAGGGTAACGCCCCCCCCCCGGGCGGGAAGGGGACATAAGTGTCTATTTGAGGTTTGGGGAGACCCCTAGTTCCCACGTTAAAAAATGTCATTGCCACATGACGGGAAAATTTCTGTTGGCATGGTATGGGGCAAAGACAGACCCACTACAAGAATTGAGAGAAAGATTTTTTTTCATAGTGATGGGAGTGTATCGATTTTAAAAAGGAGAGAAAGATCTTTACTTGGGTAGCATTTGGACGTGACGATGCGCTACCGCTCTGGAGCGTGAAATGAAATACTCTGCAACATGACGCAGGAGGCTTGGCAATACTATGGTCAGAAAGGTAGGAGAAGAAGAATTTGGTTTAAAGTAAAGAATTTAGTCCATTGTGTGGTCCGAAACTGAGGTGGAGGGGAGTGCTTGACGTGTGGGGTTTTTCCCGAGTAGAAGGGAAGGGTAACGACGGAGCACATCAGGATTTTTAGTTGGCGTTTAGGGTAGGACCGGAGTTGGCCGGCATGAAATGGGTGGGCATTCAAAAATTTTGCCGTCCTAGAGGGAGAACCCGGGAAGCATAGTAAAAGGAGAGGGATTTTCAGACAAATCGAAGGAGTAATTCGAAGCCCCGGTACCTAAGGGGGTGAGGAAATAGCACCGCAAGAGGTACAGGGGATCGGGGTTTCCCGAAAGGGTCTAAACAAAAGGGGCAGGGTCAAAATGGGGTGGGGAAAATCAAAAAGGGGCCCCCGGGGGTAGTGGTTTCATGGACTAGGCTGCCATGGTTAGGTACCTCCTTTGCTTTTTGTTTTTAAGAAAAAAAAAGAAAGAAAAAAGAAAATAAAAATAAAAAAAAGAAAAAAAAAAGGGGGGGAGCGGGGGGGAATTTTTCCCGGGAGGAATAAAAGGGGCCGGAAATCCCCTCCCGCCCAAGAGGACTCACACCGCTAGTACGCAGTCGCAGGAACCCGTCCCATACCCTACCCTTCATCCCAAAAACACAACCCGGGATAGCAACCTCACATCTCCCCGAGCTACCTCGGGGACAAAAGGAGGGGGGCCGGATATCCGCCACAAAGATCCCTCCTTCAGCCCCACCCCCGGAACCGAAAGGTGGCTTCCAGAGATAAAACCCGTCGCCCAAAAACCCCAAAGCTACTCCGGGATCCCGGAGAGGGAGGGGAATCCCTGGCAACCCAAATTTCCCGGGCAAACAACGCCACCGCCAAGAAACCTCAACGGAAGGGGATGGACCCCCCGGTTTTTTCCCCCACCTAGAACCCCAGCGCCCCTGGGGGAGAAATCACGAAGGCTAAAAAAAAGGGGCAAAAGGGGGGGTGAGGAGGGGGAGGGGGAAGGGAAAAAGGGGAGGATGGGGGATGGGATGGGGAGGGGGGGAAAGGGGGGGAATTAGGTTCGGGGTTTAGGGAAAAAGACCCACAGGGCTAATTTCCCCAGACCGAGCCTCTTCCCACGCCAAGGGGCCCCCCTTGAAGAGGTAAACATTTAAAAATATACCAGAAATTTATAAATGGTGCAAAATTACATTAAAAAATTCAAAAATGGTTTGAACATACCCACTCCTTATAGTATGCTCCTTGCTTAGCAAAAAGAATTCGTTTTTCCGACAAGTCTTAGGAACAGAATCCATCGTTTAAATGAGAAGGGGCATATTCACTTTTAATTCCTTTTTTCACACACCCCAAAAAAAACCATCCACCAGCCTCTCTACTTCTCTTCAAATCCCCAAAACACAATGTCATCAGCAAAAAGCAACGCAACAATGCCACTCTGTGTTTTATTCTTTATCTTTTAACCTCAACCTCTTGCCAACACCCAGCATTTACCAAAAAATACACTATTGAACAACCATGACATCAACACTGCAAGGTCACTTTTACTGGGAAATATTTCTCCCCTTTCCCACAACTCTTAACCCCAGCCTTATATCCCCTAAAAACTCTTCACCACTTTTATAAAACCCACCTTCTATTATACATTTGCAACATCTAACACTGCCACACTGCCCCCCATCCACTCTATCATATGCCTTTCCAAAACCATAAATGCCCTAAAAACCTCTTTACCCTTACTAAAAACTGTTCACCTATAAGTTTACTGTAAAAAAACTTGGGCAATACCCCCTACCTTTCCTAAAACCCGTTGTTCATCTGCATCCTACACTCTGCCCCTTTTTCTTAATTCTTTCAATACAAAATTTTACTGTAAATTAAGCAGGGAAACAATAGGGTTATTCCCCAAAATTTTTTTCAAAAATCTTTGTCTCCTTTTCCTTTATACAAAAGGGAAATATCATCTCTCTGCCAATTCCTAGAATAGAATTTTTTCAATAAAAAAGGCAAATTGACACCAACACAGCCCCCGAAAATCAATCCAAACTTTCCCCTAAAAAAAGAACACAATTATCGGACATAACTAATTTGAAGAGGCATTTTCCAGTTACTGTACAGACCATTTTTTTTTTTTTAAAAAAATTTGGGAAATTAAAATTTACACTATTCAAAATCAATGCATTTCTTTAAGGAACCCCTGCTAAAAGTTTTTAAACAGACTAGTTTTTTTATAGAAATCAACAAATCTATTTTAACATATTTTAAAAATTTGGGGAAAATTTTTTTCCTACACAGCCTACACCCCAAAACCCCACACATTCATGGAAGAGCACTAAACCTATAGTGGGAGGAATAGGCATTCAGGTTCAATCCAAGGAAGAGGAGGGCAGGAACATTTCCTTGGATCAAGAGTCCCTCACAGGCATCAAGGAACCTCCCCTGAGGGGCCAAAACATGGTGGGGCTTTCTGTTTAGGCAATTACCGTATGCTACCAGACAAGAAACCCATTTACCTTGTACGGTCAAAGAAACAGATGTTACAAACCAAAGGAGCATTTCCAGTGGAAATGAATTACAATCATTACCTGTTCACTCACAGTTCTGCAGGGTGACTTGGGTATCTCCCAGGTTTTTCCTAAAATTCCCTAAGTGAAATGATACCTACTTTAACACTGCTACCAGTGTTCTCACATCAGCACTAAAAAACATAAGCTCAGCTCTTCTTCAAATTTTCATCAGGAGTTCCTCCTCATTTACAATTAGGATCAGCTATGGACATTCATAGGATTGAAATATGCATGAGCTTACTTAAAAAGCAAGAGGAGGGGTGCCCTTTTAAGCACAAAACACACTAAGAGCTTCTGTATGTTGGGCTTCAAAAATTTTACATGATGCTTGCATAAAAACACTTCTAAGGGTTTTCTTATTCTTTTTTCTGTCTACTCCATATTTAAGAAACCATGGAATAGAAGCTGGATTACCCATGACTATGTGAGATAGCAGGTTACCATCAATGATGGCCTTGCTGACCAGGTGGTTACCAAGAGAGCTTGGTCTTTGATTAAACGTCAAAAGTAGAATTCAAAATGGCCTGGTTATAACCGAAGGGTTTTTGAAGCATTTAAACCTGTCCACAATACAAAAACTTTTCCAATTACATTTTTACAAGACTTGCCATGGGCTAAGATCCTCCCATTATAGTTTAAATTTAGTTTCTATTAGTGCCCCGTCCCAATATACACAATCATTTTTTATACAGTTTCACAAAAAAATTAAACCCATATTATTATTTTTAAAAGTGAAATTTGTTATTCAAGTCATTATTTCTTTCAGTATGTTCTTTTTTTGGTACTATAAACTCTTATCCTTTCAAGGGTCAGAAAATATTTAGAAACTTTCAGATTTAAATAAAATTGCAAAATCTACTGTACTTTCTAAATATATGACTTACAGGCAAGATGACCATAATTGCTGAAGGAACCAGACCCAAATCTCTAAGTGAGGTATTATAGTCATCTGGTGTGAATGGTCCAGAATGAACTGTGGATCCTAGGTTGAAATTAGAAAATGGGAGCTGCACATTCTGTTCTATATGCTGGAACACCTCAGACAATGTTGCTTCTGCTGGAAACTGTGCTATACTTGAAGATCCATCAGGCAGGCGGAATTTCAATCTAGAAATGCTGCTGAAAATGGAAAGGCAAGTTACTGTGTTATGTATTAAATTTAACATTACCATATTTAACAACGTTCCTGAACTGGTATGTAAAACAACTCTACATTAGGTGCAAATTCTTGCAATAGTTCATTTTCTTAAATTAGTATCATGCCAATTTTTATTGGCAAAACTAAGAACAATAGTACAGTAAGACCCCGGTATCCGCAGGGAATACATTCCAAGGACCTGCCATAGATACCAAAACTGTGGATAGTAGCAAACCATATATATACAAGTCCTTTACATACCTATTATAAAGTTTAATTGATAAATTATTCACAGTAAGTAGAGTATTATCACTTTTTCACTAATGAGAAATACTACATGGCTTCTCTTAGGCTTTGAAGAACTGCCAGCTTCTTTACTTTTGCACTTTAGGGCCATTATCATGCAAAATTAAGAGGAACTTTTGGGCCACAGTAAACCATGGATAACCGAAACTGTGGATACCGAATCAGCGGATATGGGGGTCCTACAGTACTGTCATATGAATGTCTGATGTTCTAGCTCTAATTTATTTTTCTTCGTAAAAAAAAAAAAAACAGAAGTACTAACTTATGTGAAACACCAGATGATGATGCTGAAGAAGCAGTAGCAACTGGAGGTGTTCCTTGACTTGTAGGAATTTGTTCACCTCGCAGAAAAGCAAATGGGTTTAAAGATTGCTCATCTCCCACTACCTGAGCTCAAGGAAACAACAAAAATTTAAACCCTTTTCTTATTGATGGGTCTTAGGAAAGGGAAAGTAAATTTTTATGAAAAAACCCCTAATGAGAATGACCAAAAAAACTAATTTTGCTACCCCCTGAAACCCAAACAATTTTTTTTTTTAAAACATGTTTGGCCATCCCCACGGGGCTGGGTGAACCCAAAAAAGAAACACTTTCCCTTTTATTCACACATAATCACTGTCTCTAAAGACACCAGTTTCAAATTTAAAGAATGTTAAAAACCAAACATCCAATATTCCAAACCCCCCTTTAAAGTGCCGGGAACTGAAACTTCCCTTTTCCCCAAGACCCCAGTCCAGCAAAACGGTTTTTTTTAAACCCTTTCCCAGAAAAATTACCCTGCCCCACACTCGAAAAGGTCTTTAAAGCCCCCCAAAAACCATTGTCTCCTTCACTCCTATCTAAACATGTTCACACATGCCCGCTGCATGCCCAAAGGCCCTTGCCAAAAAACCCTTTCTTTTACCCCCCCCCCCCAATCCTTTTCCTTTGGTACCCCCTTTCCCCCTCCCCCCCTCCACTACGTTTCAAAAACAAAAAATTATTTACAATTTTCAGGGGTTACCTTGCTTCCCAATGGTTTAAATTTTCGTTCTGTGACCCAGCCCCACTCACTGTACCCCCTTTGCTCGTACATAAAATCAATTTTTCCCACATTAAAATTTAAATGAAATGCCTTTAAATCCTTTTCCAGGGGGTTTTTCCCAGGCTCTCGGGGGGCAGGAGAAAAAAAAATTTCCATTAAAATTTGTAGTATCAACCTACTGCTATTTTTTCTAACCCAACAATTTATCTAATTGACAAATTTAACAATAAAAAACAACTTTAAAAAACCTAAAATTTACATCCCTTTTGAATGAAAAAAATTGTCATTATGTGATGAGTGGTGGCAGCCACCCCCAAAGGTAAAAATAATTATGGGCTCTAACCTTCCCTTTTCCCATTCTTGCCCTTCGAGGTCTTTTTTATAAGAAAAAAATTAGGGGTTTTTTTGGGGCCCTAAAGTGCTAGATCATTTGCTTCATAAGGAAAAACACTGAAGAAAAAAGAAAATTTTTCCTCAAAAATTTTTTTTTTTTTCCGTAAGGACGGGCCAAACTTTTTGGGTGAATACCCGGAAAGAAAACACAAGACATACAAACCTTGTACAGGGGGTCCCCTCAAATAATCGTAAGGCTCGTTTTATAAAATTTAAAAAAAATTTTCAAAACGTTTTTTTTCATCAAAAAATTGGTTTGCAAAATCGTCATTTACTCGCAAAAGTCGTTTTCTGGGACGTTTACCACAGCTCCGACCGGGCTCCACTCCTTTTCCCACCCAGTTTTGCCATTGTTTATCATTAAAAAAAGTAAGGATGATCCCACGATTTCAATATAAAATTTCAAAATTTTTCCATTCTTTTTTGTTTGCAACTGCTAAGAAGTCACCATGGCTCCAAAGAAAGCTTCAAGTTTTTGCCCTTTGGTAAAAAAATGTGAGAAAAAATGGGGTTTTGGAAAAAAATTCAAGGGTTTGGGGGTGGTAGAGTGGAAGCAGTTGTGATAGTGGTAGAGGGTGCTAGCAGTTGTGAAGGTGGTAGGGATGGGGTAGAAAAGTGCTAACGTTATAGTGGTTTTGAGGGTGGTAGGGGGTGCTAGCAGTTGATAGTGGTAGGAGGGGTGGTAGAAGGTGGTAGTGTTGGGGGTAGCAGTTGTGATAGGGGTTTAATTGGTAGGGGGTGGTAGGGGTTTGTGATGGTGGAAGGGGGCCCTTTCTTCAGTGTTCAGAAATTTTCTCCCAAAACCCCCCAATGTTTTTTGGAAGTTATATAGGGGCTACAAAAAAACCCCGCTGCCTCAGCTGCTGCTTCACCCCCATTATGGACTGCTTACTCCAGTGGGCCTTATACCCCCCAACAACAACACAACACCAACCCCCGTGACATCCCAAAATTAATTTTTTTATTAATTCAAAGTATATTCTATTTTTTCAATGTTTATTAATATTGTTTATTAGGGTAATACATGCTTTATTTAAAATTGTATAGATAAATAAGCCTTTTAAGAGTTGTTTTTAAAGGGTCATTCTCCAACAATAAAGTCGCCCCCCTCCCCCCCCTTCCCTTTCCAAAAACCCAAAGTCTTCAAAAAAGGGTTTAGGTGGGGTGTTACATGTTCATTTAACTTTTTTTTAGTGCTTTACATTTATTTGGCATTCTTTTCTGCAGGGTTAAATCTATTTTTAAGCTAGGGAAGTGACCCCTGAAGGGGGAACCTAGACCCCTTAGGGAAAGGGGGATTCCCCTTCCAAACAAAAACCCTCTCTTCCCCCTCCCCCCTGCCCTTCCCATTCATCAAAACACCCTTTCAAAAAGGTAAGGGTCATGTCGAATGTTCATTTTTTCGGGGAAATGTAAATCTATCTTTAGGGTAAAAAAAAAAATTGTTGTTGATATTTTCGGGGTGTCCGGTAGTGGGTTTGGGAAACCCAGCAACCCCCCCAGGGGGGTTACAAACCTCCGCCAAGTGGGTTTGGAACGAAAACCCCCCCAGGGAGGTATTTCCCGTCCTGCCAAGTAAGGGTAAAACGAAAGCCTGTAATTTTTTTACATGAGGGTAGGATTGCTGGGGGCCCTTTTTTTCCCCGTTCATAAAAAAGAAAGATTTCAGGTACGTCTTGCAAACTTTTACTTACACTTAGGTCACACTACACATAAAAGTACAAGCTTTTTAAAAATAAAACCACCCCTCTGGGTTTTCTGCTATTTTCTATCATTTCTTGGTCTTGTTTTTTCTCTTATCCCCAAAGGGGGAAAGTGGAAACAGTTTTTCTTCCTCCGAAACCCTTTCGGTTGTAAAAAGGCAAACTAAAAGGGTGGGAGAAAGGGGCGGAAACCCCTTCTTATAAATTATAAATTTGAAAAAGAGAAACTTTTGTTTTTTTTTTTTGGGCCAAACCCCTGCCTTGGGGGGGAAAAAGGGGCCGGTTTTTTTAAAAAAATAAAAAAAACTTCGGGGTTGCCCTGTAACAAATTTTAATTTGGTTTTACATTATTTTTTATGGGGGGAAAATGGATTCAAAAATTGTAATTTGAAAATTTGTCACCTTCAAATGGTTTAATTACAAAAAAAAAGGGGAACACTTTTTAACGGGCCGGGGCCAAGTCGATCCCTCGCCCCTTGCCCCGTTTTTTTTTCAAATGTTTTTCATGTTTTAAATTTTAAATGGCATCATCCCCCCCCCTCTTCTCAGCACGCCCTTTTGCATTTTCTTTCTTAGGACCCAGGGTTTTAAAAAGAAAAAATTTTGGAAAATTAAGGGCAAAAAATTTGGCAAGCAAAAACACAAAGAGTGTTTCCCCACTTGAGGTAATCATGTGCACTGTTGTGCGAGTCTTCTGTCCCAACTTTTGGCAGGGCATCTAAAGCTAGATCGAAACTCGGGAATTTTAGTGAAAAAAAACAAACCGGGGTTTAAAAGGCTCTTTAACTGGGAAAAAACCCCTAAGTTGGGGCACTCTTTAAGGGTAAGGTTACCATGAAACCCACAATTATTAGATACAAATCAGCAATTGGGGATACACACTTGCACGGGTTTTACTTCCAGGGGTGGTTTTCCAAATTACATTTGCAAAAAAATTCCCCATAAATTTGGGAAAAAATCCACAAAAACTCCCAAAAAAAAAGTTTTTAAACCCTATTGTTAAAAAATAAAAAAATGAATTAATAACATATACAAACCAAAAACCACAGGGGGGACAAAACCCGCGATCGGGAAGATTTCTAAAAACCCTTCCAGAACCTTGGGTTTTAAAAGCCACTGGACCGGGCTAGCCACAATAAGATTAAATTCCAACTAGGTATATTTCTAAAACCCCTTGGGAAAGGTTAGCATAGGCACACTGTGACCACAAATGAAAGGGTTTTTACCAGACGAATCCCCAGCTAGCGTGACCGCAAACTCTAGTTTAAAGTCCCCTCAAAGCGTTAAAAAATGACTCACGAAATCGAAGGGAAAACGAATGCAAAACAAACCAAAAACCCTCAGCGGGAGAAGAACCCTCGTCAGAGAGGTCTAAAAACTACGCTGTCGCGTTTACCCCCCCCAGGCCCCAGCAGCCACAAAAAGATTGTCACCCCCCCCCAAACTGGAAAAATTTTATGGGGCAAAGGGGTTTCCCATTTGGCTAATGCAAGGGTTTTGGGATTTTTGAGACTCTCTGATGGGGGTTCATCCCCTGGTATAATTTTTTTGGGCCAATCGTGTTTTTTACGATTTGGGTGGCCAAGATAAAACTTTTTTGAAAAACCTTTTAAAGGTCACTATTCAAAACAACTCAAAAAATTTCCAACAAATGCTTAGTTTCTAAAGCAAAAAAAGGGTTTAAAAAATTTCCCAAAGGGAAAATTGGGTCCCCAAAGGAACAGTGCAATGCCTTAACCTATTGGATTCCTATGAAAACCCTCCTAACATTTGGAAGGGGTTAATAAAACCTAAATCTGCCCACTTTTAAATTAGCTTCCACAAATTTGTTTCCCTATTTTCATGTTCACAATTTTCTCAACTTTAAAAAAAAATGCCTTTCCCCCAATTCTACAATAAAATTACATTTTTTTCTTTAAAAATTAAATTTTAAAAAAATTAAAAAATTAAATTTTAAAATTTGATGTTTCCCCAAAAACTGTTGTTTCTGAGAACCTCTGAAAAAACAGTGATTATGTGTGGGGAGGTAAAAAGTTTTGAAGATAAAAATTATTTTTTTTTTTTGGGGAAATTTTTTCTTTTTTGGGGGCCCCCCTGCCTCGGGGGGGAGAGGGCCGATGTTAAAAAAAAAAAAAAAATTTATATTCCTCTGTACCTAATTTTAACAATAAATTGTAATAGAAATTAACCCAATAAAAAAAAAAAGGGCCCAAAAAAACCCCCGGCTTGGGTTTGTTAGCATAGCTTTGGCCAAATTATATATTCAG